ATTATGTTACGCCTTGTACGACGTCAGTTGACCTTATTTAAAACTAAGTTATTTTTTAATCCATGATTTGATAAACACACTGTTGTTATTTGTTTGTTATTTTATAAAATCCAACTATCGCGCCACGATACTGTTGACGAAATAGTCGCGTTTGACATTTGAGCCGAGCCCACGATGGTTGGAATTCGCGGTATGTCAAATATTTTTAGTGCTGCCATCTACGCTATGGAATTTCAAACTTATCCGACGGCGGCACTGGAGTCATAAATTATTTCACACTATAACATTATTAAGGGAATTAACTTGTAGGAAATCAAAACTATTTAAAATATAAATAATACTGCCTGGTAATGCACTAACACTTGAATATATATCATTAGATTATAATGGGAGTTCCGCGACACGTTTGTGAACCATCGGAATGTGTACAGGTTATGGCCGCCGCTGTGTGACGGCGCGCAGGCGTGATGGTAGGCCGAACGCTGCTGTAGGGTTATCGACACTACGAGGTGAAAAGTAGGGTCGGCAGTCGCGGTGCAGTGATCACCACACTGGTATTATTTTTCCTTCATTTCAAGAGCAGGAACCGTGTCGCTGTTATAATAAAGTAGCCTAATAAGGAAAATTGTATACACTAAATTTAATATCTAGTATTTGAAAGTATGTTTATAGACATTATTATAAAAATACTTTATTTATTTGGCATTAGGTACACAAGCATTTTTTTATTTATTGAAAAATTATGTCATTCTGTACCTTAGATGGTTTGAACTTCGAATAAGACCCACGATTATGTAGTAAATTTTATAATAATACCTGCCATCTAGTTTATTTTTTGGTTAGTAATAGCGCGTTGCGGCAGATGGCGCTGCATTCAATTAAAAAAATTATTTAAAAAGTGTTTACATTGCAGTCTTTTGAATTTGATTAAGATATGCAGCGTATTGATTGATAAAATAGAGACTTAAATGTTCGATTTTTTTTTACTTTTATAAGCAGGCTCACGTGATATTATTAAGAGAAACCACGTGACCAATCCCGTGCGTCGTGCGAGGGTTTTAGTCTTGGTATAAATCAAAACCCTTTATTGTAATGATCAGCCGCAAACAGTACTCACTATAAACGTGTACGGACTACGGAAAAGCGATTGATTTATTATTTAGACTCACAATCTGACTGTACGTCAAAAATGTATTGGATATTAATTGGAGTCAAAGTCCGTACTTAGTCTCGTTCCGAATCTCACCCTTAAATCTCAACGGTTACACAGCATGCATATTAAATCTATAGACAAATAAAACGAAGCATTTTGACAGATAATTATTTATTTCTTTTAACTTTAAACCTAACAACTAACACAAAACTAAATAAATTTATCTCTGGAAAGTAACTATAACAACAGCTTAGCTGAAATCAAATTCGATGTTGCCTTATATAACAACTCTATAGTGTTCACAATTTAAATGTTTTATAAATAATAAAAGTCAAAGACAATAATTGTGAATAATATTGTGTGATAATATTATTTTATTATATATAGGAAGTTTTATTACATAAATTAAGGAACTAAATACATCTTGTGTCCCAAAACCATCCGGGCATGAGGCAGACACATTGCGGCATTTACATACATTTTTTTAAATAATTTTTTTAACATATTTAATTGCATTCTAAAATCCACCGAGAATCTTATCAGATACCATCACTGTTTAAACGAACCGCTCGTACCGCGCGCTTCGATATTTTTGCGCTCGAAATTCTCGTGCTTTTGTTACTGCTAAGAAACAACTTGACCCACCGGTCTCAAACAATGTTTATACCAAGTCATAAGTGTCCCCCAAAAATTTATTGTTTGGCATTAAAAACATGTAACCCTTAATTATAATTTCCACCTTACAGTTACATGATAACAATGTGACATTTTACAATATTTTTGCAGTTATGATCAGTCCAGAGCATCAATGTATTGTCTACTGTGCATTTGCCCTTCAGTATTTTTTACATAACACATTAAGTTTAATACAATCTTAGAACTTACAATCCCTTTCAAATATATTTGCCTCACGCCAAATTGGATATTTTTAAATACTTGTAATTTTGTAAAACAAAGATTACATAATACACATAGGAATTTAACAAGGTGCCTATATTAAACTACGATATTAAGAAACCAAATTGTTATGACTTTAAGTAGCACGCCTAGCAGTAGCAAAATTAAACAAAATACCGACATTTCATATCTAGAACGCATTTTGTTTTAAATTAACAAATATTATTATTCTGTTTAATAAAACAAATAATCCACAGACTAGAGCGGTTTAGTTTTAGATGTCTATTGAATTGTTAAGCAATTTGTGGTCTCAAACAATAAATTGTCTATGTGACTGATTAAACATTAATATCATCACATATATCTACTCACATATATCTCTAATCATTTATACTAAAATAATTTACACGTTTATTTGGTTCTGTTTAATAATTTAGGATTTATTCCCATCAACGCTAATGTGACTATGAGTATCACAACTTTTGAAAAAGACAGTATGAAGTATTTTATTACACAAAATGTCGCCACAGACTTCAATGTTTTTACAGAAAATGGCGCTACAGACTTCAAGATTAAAAATCTAAAATTCAATACGATTACTTTTTCAAAAGTTCGCTGAACTCTGTTATCTACTACTACAGATACATAATTTTCAAAATAATATTACAAAGTAAACTTAACTTGATTTAATCTACATTCATGGGGTTGCCATACATGTGTAACAATAAATATGTAATTAGTTATACATATAATATTTCGGATTTTATCTATCCTACCTCTATTATATTCATATTTTTTTCTACATTAAGGTGATTAAAAATTGATAAGTACTTACCTAAAGGGGACGGTTTTATACGCGCTAAATAAACATAGTAAAAGGTTTAATACAATTTATCTTTTATTAATAAAAATTTGGCAAAAATTGTGTTATATTTTAAGTTTGGATGATAGCATTTATAAAATTACCAAATTCAACGATGTTGAAGAATTTTTTTTCAATGGTTGCTTTATTTTTATAATATTCAAATTTCTATCGAAGTTTGAGACTAAATTACTGTAAGTCACGTGACGATTTCCATGGACGGGGGTCACGCCTTTCGCAAAAGGATTTTGTCTCAAGCCCTAGGTCAGAACCATTTTCATATAATGCTATTTTACAACAATGGGGGCTTGAGACAAAATCACTTTTCGACAGGCGTGAATCTGTCAAAAACATGGTCACGTGACGATTGCTATACAAATATGTTAAGTGGGTCACCCCTATCGAAAAGTGTTTTTGTCTTAAGGTCCAGGTCATATTTTTTTCTCTGAGAGATAGATGAGGCGTATGCGTAAATGAGCGTAACGGGAAAAAGAGTCAGGATTTTTCGTGCGTGCAGCCGGCGTTCATCGATTTATTAGAAGTTGTCACGTCAATAGTAACAAGACGATTTGTATGGGACACTTGAGCCGCGCTCGAACAGATTTGGGACTTAACAGAACATCGTTAAAGGTGTCAAAAACTGTCATATTGTGGTATACAAATAAACGTAAATTGCTAAGAGTTAAATTGGACATAATGAGACATTTATACTAATTTAAACTAATAATAAATGTAAGTTGGAAAAGTAAGAAAAAGTAGTATACTTTTAGTATACATTGTACTAGAAGTACGGTTTAATTTTCTGTAAATCGTTTAAATAGCTGGCTGCCATAGGACATCTTAATATTAAAATTAATTTTAGGAGTTTTAAAATTAGTCTATATTTAAGGCTTGGATAGGTAATTAGTCTATAATCTATACTAGGCCAACATAAATGCACTATTTGACAAAATTAATTACTTACATTTAAAAACAAGAATCGCAGATATTCGTCTTAGTTTTTTGTTGACAAATCACTAAGACAGGTAAAACCTTTTCACTTCTAATTATAAATGTTAAAAAAAAGTTTTTCTATACATTGAATTAATAGTAACCAAAGACAATAATGGCATTAATCTACAGTCATCAAATAGGAAGATAAGAGGAGGCAAGAAGGTTTCCCTCCAACATAAAAGCCGAAGATTCCAGTGGCTTTTTTAAAAGCTCAGCTCGGGCTGTTTTGACAAGAGTACAGAAGAGTACTCTACCAGAAATGGGCTTTTCCCTGGCACAAGGGCATCTCCTCCGAGACACTGACCTCCGCTTGGGCCATCTTGGAGTGGGAACTGGGAAGCTCATTGGAGTAAGTGAAGAACGAAGTTAGGGACGTCGTCCGAATTGATTGGCTGTGCCGAGATGTTATATATGGAATCAGAAACACTTCGATACCGCGTTTTAAGGAATAACGACATCGTACTGATTGTTGCCGATCTAAGGTGTCGTATTTGTTCATGTACAGAAATCTAAGAGATGGATTGTATTAATTATTTTAGGGGGTACTAAGATTGCTATAACATACTTTTCTGTACATATACATATTATAATTATGATAATGTGCATTATGCGATTCTAGATCTACTTATTACCTAAAGGTGGATTCATTAATAATTTTCTCAATAAATGTATAACAATAAATAATGTAATAAACGTATTGATAAATATCCTTTATAGGTAAGCAAATATTAATCCCTGAACCCAGAGTACTTAAATATATTTATATTTAAATAAAATTTATATTAAATGATATGTTGTATATAATAGCATCTGTATAAAATTCGTAATACGAAACTTTATAAATAAATTCTAGGCATGGAAGGATTATTTTTTTAAATTATAGGCCATATATTGGGAAAGCAACCGCGAAAGAATTACAATTATTTAATGTTCGCAAAAAATATTTTATAATATGAGGGTAGACTTCATTTATAATAGAGGGTAATCTTTAAAAAAACCGACAATTTTATTGTTATTAACAATATTGTTATAATTGTGGTACGTTATTACATAAAGGGAAAATTTAAACAGAAAAGAAAAGCGTTCAATGGCCCCTTACAGATATATCTGCCGAACAAGGTTCAACGGTCGCTCATCAGATCTATAATATTCCTGACCTGACGTACAAGGAGCCATGAGAGGTCGCGATGATGAAGAGGCTCTACAGCGGCAGGTGGAACGCCTCACGCCGAGAGGTCGTTTCCACCACCAGACACCTTCTACGGAGGCTTCGTATCTCTCCTTTTCCGATCTGCGCTCGTAGTCCACATATGGCCACGACGCTGAGTCACTGTCGCAGGGTGTGACTGGCGCGCTTCGAGAAGGTTTTGGTGCCAAGTACGTTCGGGATTCGTTTGAGAGGGAGCTGCGTCGCTGGGAATAATATAATTTTAATGATAGCATTATATTTATCCTGGTTAAAGGAATACATTGTTTGAGTACTAGACATAAAAGTGCTACAACCTTACTTAACCTAGGCCTTAGATATCTGTATCTGTTTCGTGTTCATTTGTTTTTTCTAATAAGCATGTAGGTGATCAGCCTTCTGTGCCAGACATACGTCGTCGACTTTTTGTGTCAAAGACCGGTTTGTTCACGATGTTTTCCTTGACAGTACGGGCGAGCGTTTGCATTGGTGTACAGCCGGGGTTCGAACCTCGGGGATGACAGTTACACACTAAAGCTCGACGCTCTAACCCTTTGTTTCGTTAAACGCGAGAAGTTCAGGAACTACTTTTGTTTATTATTATGCTGTAATAATAATAAGAATCCAGTGGAGCTATAACCATGGGTTTTGTGAGATACAAGTGTTGTCCATAAATAAATTTAAATCGTACATTAAAGTAAAACTGCTTGCTAAGGCTTATTATAATATAAATTTTTAAACGATCCCAGTGCTTGGATATGAGTTGCTCCAGTATAATTTATAGGTAACGCGACTGAATCTCTCGGCTGCATTTTCAGACTCTGGGGCGATCGTCAACATCCACGACTGTTTTAATGTAAAGTGGGAACAAACCGTGATCCATGTGGTAACAAATTATTTCAGTATTATTATTATTTTCTTATGTAGCCAAGTCCACATTTCAAGGATCGTCATGCTGGCTTAAATGTCATTGCTTGTGGCGGCGTCCATGCGTCGGGTTGTCTCTCTCCCTAAAATATGGCGAGGGGGCCGATAGCTGGCCATGCGACATACTCGTGAACGGGTGCTACTTGTGGTGACTGTACTTTTTGTCGAAGGAAAGGGAGACAGCGATTGAGTGAGAGTGAGAAGGGTGAATAACTTATAGAAATACTACTTTTAAAATTAAAATTTCGTAAAGAGAATTTATGAGATATTAGTATTTTATATTTTATGCAAAATAATTTATTGAAATCTCGAATGACGAATCGAACAAATAAATTTAAAAAAATTAAATTTATTATTTGTATTAATTTTCGAAATTTTTAATGTTTTAATGACAGTTAAATTCCTAACCTATCTTCCTTTTTCCCTCCCTCTAAGTCTCGGAAATCTAAAGTTTTAGATTTATGAACAAGAGTTAAAAATTAGTTTGCCAAAGAAGTTTCACTTTTTTGAAGTTATACTTCTTTAGGCGCGTTATGAAAAATTTATGAGAGTGAAATTTTACAATGCGCGCGCACCCGTGACACAAAATTAGGAGTGTGATTATAGCGTGCGCGAGCGAGATAGGAATAAGACAATCTACAAGTAAAAAGAAATAGAATATGCGTGAAGTTCGTATGCCAACAATTTTGAATGACCATAATGACATTTGTCATTTACCTTTTAAACAAATAAAGGAGTTTTAATTATTTTTTCAAAGAAATTTAGCGATGCTTTTTGAATTATAATCAGAAGTGATTTAAATTGAATATTTAAACCAATACTAATTAATATTTGTGAAAAAACTGTGCTCATCAAACTTCCTAAGTGCTTCAATACAATTGAGGTTAACTATCCGTATGTATTATTATTATTATCGAGTAATGTTTTGATTAAAAAATTAACCACATTGTTTAATCAAAACATGTAATTTTTCTGATTTTATCTAGCAAATATAAGGAAAAGAGACAAAAAACAATTGATGAATCAGTGTAACTGCACTAAATTGAATACAAAAACAGAGTTTTCATCTTATCGCTGTGAAACATCAAAAACTGGAGGTGGAACAAAGCCAAACTATTTTTAATATTGCCAAAGAAGTATAACTTCTTACGCGCGTACATAAGTACACGGACCCTTTTTTATATAATAGGGTTGCCTGACCGTGTAACCTATTTTTTTTATATTATGCATGTTTAAGGTAGCGAAGTGTTTGTAAATAAATTAATAACAAAAGGCAATATGAAACTCATAAAGGTGTCTTTAAACAACTCATTAACAAAATAATCTCTGCATCGACTGAATCGATTAAATTTCTGTTACTACTATAGACTATATACTAACGTGAATGACGATAAGACTTTATAATGGTAGACGGATTTGCAGTTGAAAAAGCGGTCGAACTAAAACGTTTCTTACGAACGCTGCCTTAATGATGAGAGATTAAATTCTAAAGAAAAGTTGTACAGCTTGATAATGCCTACAAAAAGTCAGCGACAGCATATAACTTTTATTTGAAACCAAGTGCTCAGCCGCGTTCGTTTTGATTTGAATGATTTATGAGGAGATAAACACATACACACATTACACACTTTATATACCTTATTCCTTTTTTTTATTTATTTAAAGGTACACTGCTACAGGGACCAAACTTTTAAAATTTGTTTTAATTTTCTTTATAATAATTTTTATTATTACTTTGTAGGTTAAATTGGAAATACAAATTATACATATCGTGTAATAAATGTATCTTGTTACATAATATTAAGTAATGTGGATTTTTAAATCCTCTATACATTTCTACATTTAGATAAATTTGTACGAATGTTACCAAATTTTAAATCAACAAGATATTTAATATTTAAAGGTTACGGGTTACGCTTGGGTGGGGCGGGTCATTATTCTAATGTCCCACGCCCAGTACACACCCAGTAGAGGCCAATACATTTACACTGTGAGAGTAGCAGTTACAAACACGGACATTGACGGCACGTGGGAAATCCTCCAGAGATTCTGCGCGGCCCTCATGCGCCATAAACAAGAGCTATCCCGCAACCCATTCGGATCGCCGTAGGAGACCAGCGTCGTACCTACGCGTTGTGTGTCCTTGCAATCATTGTACCCGATTTCCCCCTCTACAAACCAGGGTGAATTGGCCATATGAGTATGGCCCTTGCCAAGGTCCATTCCACTACATTAACCGTAGTGGGCCGTGATTTCGACGGCTGATTGCGTGCGGACAAGTCCACGCTGTTACCGTGTCTTGCCTCGGGCGATTGCTGGTGGCGCCGTAGGGACTTATCCTGTTATGCAGAGTCACGAGTTCCGCATAAACCTCCACCACAAGACAGTCACACTGATTGGAGGGTATGCAACGCATTTCCCCATAAAAAAGTCGCTAGTCTGAAATAAATTACAATAGTAAAAGGAATACTTACTCGGAGAACACTGAAACTGGGCAGTTTAAAGCGTCACACTTCCTGTAGAAACTTAACAGGGCACACTCCCTGTCGGTTGTCTCCAGCACGGATCATCACCATGCCGTCGACTTCATCACCCACTTGGATCACGATCTGGTCACGGAGAAGCATCAGGCCATTGTCACCGTCAGATACCTGAAATAGTATTCGACGATTGGAATGAGGTGTACTTGTTCAAGAAGATTTAATGTCTAGTACATTATGTAAAAAAAATTATTCTATTAATGATTCTTTGCGTGAAACATTATTATTAATAATAAATTTGTTAACGTAATAATATATTAAAACTAGGACGCCGCAGTGCTCGCAATTCTGCTTCGCTTCAGTACAAATTTTAGTGTTCAACTCAATTTTTAATGATGAGTAAAAATACATAGATTCAAAACATTTAATTTAAAGATTTGATTTTGTTGAAAGGACTTTTTAGTTTTAGGTCTCCTTCGAAGTTGTTTTTCCGCTTATTTTGTGATTTATTCGTAAATATTATTGAGATTTTATACCTTATAGCACGGGAAATTTTTCCATCTTTAATTTAAAAAAAGAAATTTCAAAATCGGTTAAGCCGTTCAAAAGCCTTAGTGTTTGTACAGAGTGTCATAAGAGTGGGCGCACGGGAGCTTCGCTCGCTCCGTTCAATAATGTATGTAACTTCTATTTATATTTTTAAGACAAATTTGCACGCCATTATGTGTGCCTGAATTTGCGTATTTTAGATTGTTCCACCAGTAACTTACTTACTATTTCTAGGAAATAAATTATTATTATTATTATTAAGTCCTTCGCCGAAACTCTCTGTTCGCGTTAACGGATCTATTGGATGGCACGGATTTTTATGCAATTTTCACCTTATAGAGATAATGAGGCATGAAGGTTTAGGTACAATATATCAACCTTTTGTGTAAGTTAACTGGAAGTGAGTAAAGCTCTACTCTAGCTATCTCTACGCTATCATTTAGGTACTTAGACCCCAAAGATTGCAAAGTATCTTGGATTTTTTGTATTACTTGATCGCTTAATGCCTTTCCAAGATTTCCAGAGATTTATATTTTATTTTATATATTGATGATTCCGTTATAATTTATTAGGTAAACTATTTACTTAATTTATTTAATTTATTAACTATAAAGAAACTACTTAAAACATTTTTAATCAAAATAATCTCGTTACCTATAGTAAAAGGTAACTCGAAAATTCTCATTTTGAATAGCGCGACATACACACTCACAGAAGAATTATATATATAAAGATTAGCACCACGGAAATTTAAATGGTAATTACACATACCTCATGATTTTTATTCAAATACTTAACACCGCAGTCAATACGAATTTTAACGAGTGATCTTCTTCATCCTCTAATTGGATTTGGTTGTTTGCCAATCTTATGTAGTTCATTGTAAAGAACGGTCGAGTTGATAAAATTAAGAACATTTTTGCTTTGTCTATGGAGATTATATAAAATGTTATTTTATTTACGTGATTATTTAGACATAGACATAACATTTATTACTATCAAAACACACACAGAAACTCACAAAATAACAATAATAAAAAAGATTGAGAGATAACATTATTTTTTAAAGTACAGTAAAAGCTCCCATTTGAACATTGATCCATCTATGGAACGAAGTCTTAATTTTATGAGGCAAATTGCTAATGCGACTGCTGAGTATCAGTCAGAATTGAAGGAGCTATTAAAAACTGTCAAGCAAGAGAAAATAACAAAATTCTTCAAACCATTGCCTAAGCATGAGGATCATGATTACATAATCAAAATGTTCAATAACATCAATAAAATTGATTTTCTTATATATTTGTGTTTTTTATTTTGGCACCTAGGAACGTATCCCCTATAAACCCATATAAATTACCATTCTGTATTCACGGTTTCTGTATTCGCGGCATATTTATGGAACGTATACCCCGCGAATAAAGAGATTTTACTGTACAATATTTTCTGTTGACCAAAATAATTATGGAATTTAATATCGAATAACCAAAAAATCATCGAAAATGTCTAATGGAAAAAAAGACAACGCTTAATCTACTAACACAAAACATCATATTCCTTTTAACCAAGAGATTTTTCCAGAGACTTATGACGATAGAAGTAGAAAGTTCCTAATAAATTTTAACATCGGTCATGTCGAAATTCATACCTGTAAGTTGTGAGTGACTTGCAGCGGTCGTTCCCCAGCCTGCAGCTTAGTGCAATATTTGGATGGAAAGTACCCGACTTTTCCTAGGCATTTGCCCTTCCACCAATCGGGGTCGGAAGTGTCGATCACTGTGACCTTATATCCAGCCTTCAAGTCCAGCTCATCAGCGTGACGGGACTTGAAGTTGTAGAGAATCACGTACAAGTTGGTTGGTAAGAGACGCTGGTGCTTCTGAAACACAAATTAGCTGAATTAGACTAGTTCAATACAAAATGCAAGGCTATCAAATAACTCAGCAGAGCAGTTTTCCGCTCCGGATGTTTTCTTGCTGATCACGACACTCAGACATGAGTTAGACTGAAGAGTGATTGAGAGGCACGACATGAAGATGAATATGAAAAAAAAAGCTTTTCTAAGAGATTTTTTCGGACTGTCATTGCGCTTTTAGTTAAAGCTCTGCATTAGTAATAAGTTTTGTATTGTATTTGGAATATAAGGAATTAAATATCGTGAGGATATTTCCAGAATAGTCGTCGCCCAGTCCCGGTCGCAGATGTCAATCCCACTAGATGTAGTTTTAGTAAATAAAGGCCATTTTAGGAAAGAGGAGATTGGACACTCCCCTGCAGCACCTGATTACGTGGTTTTAAGCCAATTAGTACGTTATAAAAACTTTATATTTACTTAAATTTAAACATTTAAATTTATTTAATCCGATGGAGTAGCACCACGTTTTCGCGTTGACATGGCAACACAACTTGGTTATGATATTCAGAAAAATAAATAATCCAAGCTTAATTTAATCCGAATATTCCTGCGTATAAAGGAAATTATCAAGGAAAATATTTTTTTAGAATTAATTAGACATACACGCTACAATTGAAATCAATGTATAAATCGGTACCAGGATCGCATGACATACCGTGGGCTGTTTCACTGGTGATGGACAAGGGCTGGCGCTGTTTGAAGAAAGGCTCTTGTCAGGCTCGTCTGGTAACTCCACGCTGCTCATACGACCCACCCGAGTGTTCAGAAGACGGCGGCTATGCACCGGCGATGATGGAGCTACATTATATTAACATAGTTATATTTCCTGCATCCTATAATAGTTTGGTGCCCTGGTACTATATTTAGGTTCGATACCAATTAAAATATATGGCAACTGACATAAATGAAGACAAGCTCTCAATTAACCAAATCAATGATTTAAGAAAGGTTTAGTTAGTGAATTGGTAATAAACAATTCAGCATAATTGTCTAACTTCTGCGCAAGTCTCAGGTTAATCTAGAACTCTGAAAGCCAGACGATTCAAGATAATCGATTCAGAAAAATTCAAGAAGTTTATTGGAATACAATAACATTATTTAATTGATATGATTGTAAAGAGATCATTTAGAAATGGGTTGAGAATTGTAGTACATTTAGTATTAATTTTTTTAAGGACTAATCTTTCTAAACTGAAAACTTTTTTATCTGCATATCGACTACATTATCGATATCACGGCGACTTGTACTGAAATTAATGTAAAGTATTAATAAATCTAAGGTTAATAAAGGTAAATTTCCAAAAACATCCTACGAAAGCTCAAATAAACAGTGCCTGTAATCAGTCATAACACTTGTTACAACTTATCTATAGCAAACAAAGTCATAATAATAAATCGATAAAGGGCCCAATAAAATTTCAATATTATGGGATCCTTCGCCCTTATTACCAGATTGATTGTTATGATATCTGTTATATAAGCTAATGAAGCGCAATTCACAATACTATTAGTATTAGCTTTCAAATTAAAATAAAACGTGAAAATTTTATTCGTTTGTTAATCTATTTCTTTATATTTGTCATGTAAAATGAACTAGGACTTTGCATTCAGGCATAATGGAATTAGTTTTTTTCATCTTATACAACAGGGGACTAACGGGCAGGAGGCTCACCTGCTGTAAAGAGCTGCCCATGAAACTCACATCACCAAAAGGCTTGCAAATGCCGACCTTTAGTTTCGCAGTGTTTTTATGAGTACTCTTGATTTTTTACCTTTATATAAATCGTTTGAATTTGTATTGTACAATTCGCAACTATTAAAAGATTCTTAAAGATTCCTTTGTATAAATCTTGAGTTACAATTAAAGCCAAGTTAATTATAAATTACGCTTCACTGGTAGCGCTAATAAACAGCAAATTAAACGTACATGATTGCGAATTATATACAGCGTTATTTACTCTCAGCGAGCCGTATCGCATGCAATACGTCCTGTTATCTAGAAAGAAAAAGAAAATTAAAATCATGCAGACCACTTACAACCAGTTCCAAATACTTAAAACAATTGAAGATCAACGTCGAAAGCACACCGAGAGAAGACAAGTCCACAAAGCTAAGGGATAAAGGATCACATCGATTGTGCTACGACATTTAATTTTGTATCCAAAAAACTCGTAAATCATATCATTAATAACTAGTAGTTCGGTTAACTGAATGTTGAGACTATACTATCAAAATTAAACTCGCCGAATTATTGAATTACTGAATCAATAGGTCATAAATAATTTTCACCTAAAGTCGAATATGTAAATGGTAAGTATTTAAGAATTACAATCATCCAATTGTACTAATAAATTGTACATATAAAATGGATATTGAACGGAGATTACATTTATTAACTTTGCTTAAAGAGTAAAAAAGTCACTGCAAGTAAAAATTATAATTGGATTGTGGTGATTTGTAAGGGCGTTGTCCCCTTGCCTCTCCCTAATTGCCACTAACTCTGTGCCTTCCGATGTGTACACAGCCTTTATATTAAGTAGGTTTAGCGGACTGAAACGATGCCAGCGGTATGTTGCAATAAATACTAATAGCCAGTGAATTATTAGTACCATTTCTCAAATACAAGGAACATTCCGTGTCGGTCTAAAAACATATATAGTGTATTGCAGGCAAGTTTGTTTCGTAAAAGGATGTGATTATAAGGTCAAAGTGTTATGAAGTCAAAAAGGCTTAGAATTCGTTTTAGCTCGTAAGTAGATAATAATAAATTGTATGCACATTCCTATTTAAGAATTGTAAGTGAAAGAAGTCGAGTTTTTTGGACCGTTCAAACATATGAAGGTATCGTACATAGAACTTTGCTGCTCTGCGAAGGTTGGTCCCTAGCTGGTCTCCTCCTCAGTTCTCCACACTCCGGGGAATCCAAAGAAAGGCTCTTCATCCTAAGATTCAACTTTTGGCGGCGAGGCGAATGTGGCGCTACAACAGTCCGCCAACATGAGAAAGCAAATAAATAAATATTCAATGTAGCTGAAATGACAATGGATTTAATTTAATATTAAGTGACAGAATGTTATGTATGAATTGGTATTGCGTATTTTAATGTGGAGGCACAATTTGAAATAATATTCAATGAGTTAGTTACACTAATAACAACGAATTACAACAATAAATTGCGTAAGCATAAGCAATGCAATCAATTTGAAAAAGAAGTCATAGCATACGGTAGAGATAGAAAGAGAGAAGGGAAGAGAACCTACCTTACCCATACGATATCTACGCATAACAGTGTTTCTACATATAATATGTGAATACAAAACTATATATAACTATATAGGACCACTGTCCTAGGATGTTACTCGCTAACAGTAGTGTTTTCAGTTAGGCGAGGAAGTTTTCATAATAAAATAAATTTAAAGTTTTCTACTGGGGATCATTTAGTCAAGTACCAGGTATAGGACTGGCGCGGTCAGCCTGCCTTAACATTTGGGCACTCTTCGAGTTCCTCATCGAACCTGTAGGGACAAAATAACAGGCACGTGTCTATATTACTATCTTTTACAACTAAATCCGATATGAACCCTGTGAAATTTGTAACCAAAGTGTTAGTAGAGCCAAAGCAAAAAAAAAACATATACTCTTTGTGGTGTCAGTTTGCTTTCGCTGAAAGTGTTTGCACAGAAGTTGGTGTGATTTTAGATAGTAGAAATTTGAGACAGCAGAATCACGTGCTTTTCAGAGCCGATTTGACGTTAGATAACATATTATATTTCCAAAAGACATGCGAATTATGGACTCTCCAAGCCATGCACCACTTACTTTGCGGCCGAAGGGAAAAGGCACTTGTCGAAATGCAATCAGTGGTATACCAGAAAAATAAAGCAGCTTTATTTATTTTTTATTGTAACAAAAATAATTTACATATCACAGAACGCGGGGCGTTTCGGGTGCTATTATTAAGGTATCCAAGTCATGACTAGAACACATGAGCCCAGAAGCCGCGGTGACCGTTGCCGTAATCAGTATTCGTATACGGCCGAAAATATTTCTGATTATTCTAACGAATGCTTAGCTTCATTTTTTCTTTCGAACGCTGGCCGTGGGCTTTAAAATCGAAGGCGGGGGATCACCATTCTCATTTGTGATACACAACGGTTGGCCGAATGGTCGCGTTGTTGTTTCTTCTATTTCTGAAAGGAGGTGCGAATAAAACTAAATAAATATAAGTAAATTAAATCAAAAATAACATTAATCAAATCATAAGATAATCGTGAGACACAATTGTCATAATTGGGAAACTGGGAGCACGGAAGCAAGCATCTATTAGTGTTTGTAGAACAGTTACTAGTAACCTAAATCTAGACTAAACACAGTCATTGCAAATGTAACCAAAATAACCCAAAATACAGCAAAAAATAAAAATAAAGAAACAGAGCCGTGAACGAGAAGACGGGACGGATAAAGCTCAAAGGCGGTGAAACAGCGATGCGCTACGGCAGCCGAGGGCGCGTACTTTCCGGCAGAGAAATGGACCGATGCTGTGGAGAGCCACGACGCGACTTGGACCCCCACATGGACAAACTCTTGACGCCGGCGAAGAGTCGCCGCCGCACGCCGCCGTCGCTCTTGGACGCCCCGCCTACCGACAAGCACTATTGAGCACCGACCGCACCCCGCCCGCCCTGCGCCCGACACGTAAAGGCGTGCAAACAATCGACACTACTGAAAACGAGTGGTCTTAAGGTCTTAATGAAGCTGCCTGTCGACTGTTGCCGGGTGACGCCGGGCGACAGCCGGCGGCCTACGCGGAGCTGAGAAGCGAACGAGCCTGGGTGCGGCGCCAGACCTGAGCTGGAGGAGATTTGTTGCGGTGCCACCGCCAGGCCGGTGCTTGGCCGGGCCGGGGACCGCGACGGCGGAGGTTCCTCGGGAGCCGACACGCGCACTACGGGCCCTCCCGGCTTCGCTATTTCGTTGGCGCGCTTCAGCACTTGATACGTCAGATCCACTTCCTCCTCTGAACCGAGCGAAATGTTAGTAACGCCCCTTTAGGTCCTATGTGTCTGATGTTCAACAATCGCCGGGTGCTGGCTTTTAAATATTCAACTGATGTTCACAACTATAAACTAACGGGCACCCGACCGATATGCGTGTTAGTAAAAATGATAGGATTGCCGCAAATGTATTAGGCCACAGGACAAATATGGGGTCACTCGGCACTCCTAACTCATACCCTCATAGTAGCCATCATAACCATCATCAAACTCGACTGTTCTTTTGAAACACATCTTGGCGAGCCTTTGTCCGGGCAGGCACCCTGAATTTAAATCCAATTTTATAAATGCGTGTCGCGAGTGTGTGGCAAGCTAGTGTTATGTGTGCTTTGCTCATAATGGTTAAATAAACTTGATAAAAATCCTAACTGAGATAATCCTCCTGAAATGAAAACTCTTAAAATACAGAATTATTTCAGTCCTGATTTAATTCTAATTAAGGTGTGAAGTTTCGTACTCAGAATACAAATTATTATAATACTAATTATCGTCACTGTAGAATGATAACCTCGTATGACAAAAAAACATTTATTTTTTATTCTTAGACTCTTATGTCATTTAACTGGTATAATCATGAAGTAAGTACTTATTTATGTTATTTATAAATAAGTCCTTTTTACCATTCAAAACTATGGACAAAAACACATAATAATATTTTAACGAACATTGACGAAATGAAACATTTTATTCGTTTCCTGTAATGTTTGGTTCTCTGGAGACACGAAGTTAGCATTCTTCAGCGACGATGAAAATATACTAATCTATTTAGTGTTAACTGCGTATAACAAAACCTACTTTTCGTCTATTACAGCTAAAGGTAAGTTTAAATTCTATTCAACGATTTACCCTAATTACCAATGTTATATTTAAAAAAATATATGCAAGAAGTTTTGTAGTACTTACTTTCTTCTTCGTAGCCAGGATCTTGGATCCTGTGAGCTTCAATTTCGGAGGTGCTTTTCTGTCGGCGCAAGAGTCGTGATTTCGTTTGACATTTGCCAACTTGAGGCATGCAGTCCGTGTGTACGTTCATTTTGCATATTCTGCACCTCAGACCCTGTCGAGTGTGCCCTGTATTGGAAAAATAAATAGTTTAGTATGTTACGATTATACAAATTATGTTCAAAATGATAGCTAAGAAAAATAAGTAAATATTTCTTTAGTTCAACACTATTAATGAATAGTATAGGGCAGTACCTTCATATAATTTGTAGTAAAATTAGCAATTTAAACAATAGTTTATTTACAATTATTATCTATTTAAATGTACACGTGTAAGTAAGTTTACACGTGTATATGTTTTATAATATAAAATAATTTTTAAACACAAATTGTTTTTTTGACGTGACAACGTCACAACAAATCGATGAACGCATGCCACACGCACGAAAAAGCATGACTCATTGTCCCGTTACGATCATTGTCCCGTTACGCTCGTTTTACGCCGCATCTATCTCTCTTCCACTCGATTGGCCTATGCGTCCGAGCAGAGGAAAGACAGCGGCAGCACACAACTTACATCTACACGTGAACTGTTTCGTCGACTGTTTATAAAGTAAAGTGAAAAGTTAGTGTGGTTTTCATTGTTTATTACAACAATTGCAGCAATAAAGGTTTATTATTATTGCATTTTAAAAATTTGGTATAATGATTACTAGTATAATTTGTATAAAATTATTCAATATTATTCCATAAAGTATGCATTCATTTCATTAATGTTTTGTTATGACGTTGTCACGATAAACTATCGTCCGTTAACCGACTTTACAGACAAAAATTATTTTTATTATTGAATTAAAATTCTAGATTTGTGATAAATATATACTATATATACAGATTGCTAAATAACAAAGCTATCATGTTATATTAGCGACGATTGCCTGAAATAAGTCCCGGATTTGTACTTCAATGATTTTACAAAGCGCTCTGCGTATATAAAGAAAAGTCTGTGTGGGCAGAAACTCAAAATTTGGGCTTAATTTATATGCCTAATCTCCTCAATTTGTTATTCTGTTTTAATTAATAAAACGTACATTTGGTAGAAATGATAAGATTCTAAGTCGAGATTTATCGTTGAATCTTCAGGTCTATCTTTTGACTTGTCATTTGAAATTGTCGTTATTAACTGTTATGTGTTAATAAATATTATATATATTTTTTCATAATGCGTAAAGGCTTAGAAGCTAAAAGGAAAGGCTTCATTTTATTAGAATTTTTCAGCCCCACGCCCGGAGCAAGGTAATAAGATCTAATTACTCTAAAGCTTTCGTTTATTGTCCTTTGAAAACCGAGGCCTCTTTTCCAGCAATTGTAGATAATTAAAAAAAGTTTTCCTATTACGTAAATACTATAAGACAGGTTTTTTTTTCATTTCGACAAAGGGAACTTATACGTTCGGGTAAATTTTTTTTTTCAGATTTAATTTATTATTTTATTTTATTTACGGTTTAGGTTTAAAGAAGTTATTATCATGAGAAACTTATAAGAGACAAAAATATATAAAGATATTAAACACATAAAAAGTAAAATATATACGCTGTTATTGCATTCGAGTCCATCTACCAAAAAACTTCGCAGGCGTATTCGACTACTATTTCCAGTATCTCAGGAGGCAAGCTCCAAATACCTCAACGTTATCTCGCCATACACGTTGTTTGATGTACAGAGCCAAACTTGCGTTACCGCTCGGGTGTGTACGTCACGCTTAACTCGTTTTTTAATGTCATCCCGACTAAGCTATGCTTCGAAAATGCTACTTACAAATTATTTACACAGAAATATTTACTAGTAAGTAGGTTCATAATTTTACGTTATTATCAAAAGTGGTTTTAAATCAATCAGTTTTGGTCAGTCTTGGATTGTATAATAATCATTTTTTTGTAATCGAACCTGGGACCACTAAATCAACACATCAATTGATGAAGCAGTACTCATAAAAGCGTCGTTAAAATATTCAAGGTTGACAGTATTTTATTGAAGAGTGGATTTCGCTTAGTATCTCGTTCCACATCGTTGGTGAGGTGACCCGAGAGCGAAAGATCATTCCGTCTCATTGAAGTTAAATTCACAATAATTTACTTTTACATACTTCACCATTTACTTATTATTACAATGAGTGTCTTTGCGAATAAATTACAAAACGAATGAAACGATACAGAGATATATATGTAGGGACCACACTTTAATCAACGTGTAGAAAAACGAAAGTTTATCTAAGATTTACAAAAAAAAGTTTTGCGCACAATCAGTCGGGGTACTGCTGATAGATTTTTCGAACAAATTTAACGCTGACGTTAGAGTTAGATACCCTATCGAACGGCTAACATAACTTCTGAAATGGATTGTATGGAAAATACAAAGGTTTTCCTCGGTATAGAATTGAGTCCAAGTCCAAGGATATTAAATTATTTAACACGTAATTCCATAATCACGAAAGTACAATGAGACTTACGTAATGTAAGAGAAACGGTAGGCCTAATCTTTTATTAGCGATCTTTGACAGGCGACTATAATGAGGTATATAGAAATAGTCATAATATATATTTTTTTCAATATAAAGAAATTTTCGAAACGGATTTAAGAGTATGGCTGTCCCCGTGAACTTCGTAACGCTTTAATATGATATTTTTACTTTGTCTACCTTCGTAGCTACGTACATACATACGGAAAATTTTACTATGCTACCCCATAGATACTGTTCACTTTTTCGGAGTAAAAACCTAAATACTAACTAATTAATTCAGTACTAGCTTTTCTTTCAATATTTTCCCCTCAAAACCTTTCTCGGAGTTCAAGGAATAAATATAAAAATCCGTCTTTGAGTTTTGCGCTTAGCAACATATTTTGCCATTAATTTTTATTCATATAGACAATTATTATTGCATTCATAATGTAAAACAGGCATTTTATTAATATTCTTACCTCGCAGAACTTGAGAGCAGACATCACATGGTGTGATCTTCTTGTATGTGTATTCTTGGAAATTATGCGCCTCCGAGTCGACGCCTCGCATCGCGTCGCGGGACGCACCATTCCTCCTACAATCATTTTAAGGTTACATTCTTCCAATTTCAATAAAATTCAAGCATTATTAAGTACTTTAGACGTCATTTGTTTGAGTATTTTTAGTGATTGAATATATCTATAGCAGATGAATATTATATAAAGTAATTGCCGAATCTTTGTTCAGAAATAAAGTTTTTATACGACTTTTAAAAAACGTAAATAATTTTATCATCTGCTCAAAGACTGTGTAGTATTTGAGTGACGATTATTAGCAGAGAACAAAAATAATTTGCCAGTTAATTAATCATCTTTAATGAATGAAGATATATTGATCCTATAATTGTTCGACTTTATTTTCAAAGATAAAGAAGTCCCTGAAGAGATTTACTTGTAAAGTGACGCAATAGTGAAAAACATTCAATAGTTTTATGAATAAGGAATAAAATGATTTACGTTTAATAATACTAATTTACAATTGTGTACCCAAGTCTATGTTTTGTTTTTAAATGGACGGACGTAACTGACAAGTGAGAAACACTAGCTTCTATTAAAGCGTAAACCTATCTCTGGTTATAGCCAAACCCTAGTCATAAATGTAAATTGCTGTCCTTATCACACTCGCGATACTTTGCTAATGAATAAACGTGACAACTTGTTTCAACTAAGGTCTGTCGAACGTTTTTGAAGTGACAGGTATAAGTCCTCTCTCTCGATGAGTAATGTCAGATAGAACACATAGTTATCATTCTATGATTTACAGTTCGTTCAACGCGTTATCGATCGACAGCAAGGTCAAGTGTAATTATTTGAAATTAGAATATTTTCGTAATTACGAATTCCCGACAAGCCTAAAATTCTATGTTAAGTTACGGTTAAATCTCCAATTTATGTTCGGGTTTGATTATACTAATCGTAACTACGAGTCCTCTATTCTCACTCCTTTATAGGAGTATCTATTTTTTTTTATAAGTATATAGAACAGAAGATTGAAACATTGAAGACTTAGCCGCTACTTAGTTTTAAGGCACATTTACGTGTAAATATGTAAATACTATATGTATTAAGTTTGGGTTAGAATGGGAGTGTGCTGATTCATGCGTGTGGCTAAAGCTTTAGAAGAGTAGGCTTAGAATCGACTTAGCAATAGATATAGCTTGACTATAGGTACTAAAAACCTCTAGGAACATTTTTTTTTTAATGTACAACATCATGCCTTTGCACTCTATTAAGTCGCCATTCTGGTAAGTAAAATTTCACTTAAAAATTGTAAACCACAGATTATTTTACAAAACAATATCCAAACTATTTAGGAGCAAAGATAGAACATTCAATTTGTATGTGAAAGGGTTACATACTCAAATTATTACTTTATAGCAAAGTCTACATATGCACTTTATTATTTGTAAGTAATATTATTCATTCACAAACCGGATTCGGTCTATATAAAACGTCCTGAACTGAAAATATTTTCCTAGAGATTTTTACCGAATTTTCCTAGATACAGGAATTCAAATTACAGGGTAACCTAGGGGACAAAGTTACCTCATCGCCATAACCGTAGACACCGCATGGTACATTTGATTTTTTCTTGATGCAAGAAGAAAAAAAAACATCAAAATGAACAGGATATGATATTTTTACCTGTGTATTCAACTATTACAACAAAATTTTGAGTGCCACAACAAATGAGTCATAATAGTAATTGTATTTAATTAACGAATTGAACGACACAGGCTACTGAGTATTTAATTTAATATAAAGCTGTATGTGTGTTATGACAACAACTTAATAAAATATTATACATATTTTACTGGCATTACCGTCTTCGCATGGGTAGGCAAAACTATTAAAAACAAACTTAATTTGATTTTGTTTTCTAGTAGAGACTCTTGGGCCGTGGTTCAAGTGCACAGGCGTATTAAAGATTTAAGTTGGCGCCTGTTAGATAGAAGAGCTGGCGGTTTCCTCGCTCAACGGATAAGTATCACAATACAGCGAGGAAATTCTCCCAGCATTAGAGTTACACTGCCGCAGACACCAAACTTTTTAAAGTTGTTTTAATTTTCTATTTCTCAATTTTTATTATTACTATGTATGTTAAGGATATTGTAATTACTGTATATTTGTGTTTTAGATATAAATATAACTCAAGGATAATTGCATTATAATAATTAAAGAATTATTGTTATCGATCCAGTCACTTTTAAGTTAATTTGAGTTACTATTAACGATGTGTAACACTTAGATACTCGTATATCTGGCCTTCTCAAAGACATGTTACGATTTAGTTGCAGTAAGATTTGTAGAAAGATTTGAAGTATTTTGAACCTGGTCTTTCTAGGCCGGCATCGAACCGTCTGGCAATGTGTGTCTATGGGCGGCTATCACTTAACATCATCATATGAACTTATGGACGTGTACACACAATTAACTTATGCTCATAGGGTAAAAGAAAACATTGAGAGAAAACGTATGTGACTTATAAATCGCCGTATATGTACGTGGATTTTCTGTCAGAACAAACAATATAAACAAAAACATATATAGAAATACAAAATAATAAAAAATAAATAAATCAGTGGCGCTTCAACCCTTTTTAGGTCTGGGCATTAGAATTCTGTATCTGTTTCATGATCAATTTCGATTTTTCAATATAATAGGCAAGTAGGTGATCAGCCTTCTGTGCCTAACATACGCCGTCGACTTTTTGGGTCTAAAGCAAGCCGGTTTCACGATGATAAACAAATCTTTAAAAAAAAAATCAGTGGCGCTACAACCTCTTTAGGTCTTGGCGTCAGATTTCTGAATCTGTTTCATGATCATTTTTAAATCAAATAGGCAAGTAAGTGATCAGCCTCCAGTGCCTGACACACGCAGTCGACTTTTTGAGTCTAAGTCATGTCGGTTTCCTCACGATGTTTTCCTACATCGTTCGAGCAAATGTTAAATGCGCACATAGAATGTCCATTGGTGCACAGCCGGGGATCGAACCTACGACCTCAGGTATGAGATTCGCACGCTCAAGCCACTAGGCCAACACAAATCTTAGATTCCGTAAATATTGTAGAACTGGCTATCTCATACTAATTATAAATATTTGCATGATTATAAATTCAGGTTCCATTATCCTGGTTTCGTGATTCCATATCTCTTCATAGAACTTAAAACAAAACTTATAATATCAGCAAATAAAGCATTCCTTAGCTTCGTTAACTTATTCTACGTTGTTGACAAGGAATATTTGTCAACACTTATATATTCAGCATTTTATTTTTAGTAAGCTGTTGGAAATTCAACATTTATGAATTCAAATGGATGATGAATGATTTAAAATGTAAATAGCGCGTTAGATAACAGCATTATTGTAGTTGTTTATTATTCATAACAAATCTTAATGTATTAGGGTCAGTCTGGAAACTTTTAAAATTCCTTTACAAAAGCTACTTGGCGTTCAAGTACTGAGGGAAACTTAGTAGTGAACAATTGTTATGTATCGGAGAAATCCTTTGTTGTTTTGTTCAGACTAGTGAAGGTCTATTATTCATAACAATGCAAATAACTTAATAATTTATAAGTCTTTGAAGATATAAATCAGTGTATATATATTTTTGCAGCACATTCATTTATAACAATTTTTAAAACAAATGAACACTATGAACTACCGAGCGAATGAGACGGTGTGGTTATTGAATAGAAATTGTTTTTTTTTTTCTCTTCGTGTTAGTTAAGTTTAACTATGAGTACTTGTCACACTAATTCTTGTATTTTATTATTCTTTAAATTGTATTTTATAATTTCTTGTATTACTGTGCCGAGCGTTGACAAGCTTTTGTAAATAAAATGAAAAAAGAATATGCATTTTGCGACTTTTGGGTAGAGGAAGTCATGTCCACAATAAAAATAAAAGTAAATCAGTGGCTACAACCTTTTTAGGTCTGGGCCTTAGATTTGTGGGCCTGTATCAGTTGCATGATAATTTGTTAATCTAATAGGCAAGTAGATCAGCCTCCTGTGCCTAGCACACGCCGTCGACTTTTTGAGGCTAAGGCCCTTTTCCTCACGATGTTTTTCTTCACCGTTCGTGCGAATGATGAAAATGATAAAAAGAAAGTCCATAGCCTGGGATCGAACTTACGACCTCATGGAGGACACTCGCACGCTGAAGCCACTAAGTCAACACTGCTCTATCCAGATGTAATGACAGCTAGAATATAACGAAAGTAATTACTTTCGCTATATTTCTTATTATATTGTATTTATCCTTCCATTGTACGTTATTTCAATTCGGTGTTTACTGTCAATCTCAATCAAGATATGGCTTCATATTTTCACATTGGTTCGTCAAACTCTGTTATTATTATACTTCTTACTAGACACTCTCAAATACATGCGCATACACACCTATTCACACACTCACACATTCACGCATACTTAATTTCTTATAAAACTTAGTTACACTAAATCTACTTTTTCTCAAAAGCCCTTTTAAACATGTACCATGTACCACGTAATAATTGTTATCTAGTTACCCACAACACGGGGACTACCTAGTGTGGGGTCTAGGGATAGATAAATTTTGTCACAACCCTTTTGTCATGAATAAAGTTTTTATTATTATTATTATTAAGAGGAAGTTTTTAATCGTATTTAACGGACTGTTTATATAATTACTTAACAGTAAATACTGCAATTAATAAAAAAAAACTATCGCAGCTTTTAGAAGCCGACAAAATGTGTAACTGTAATAATCTAATTACGCTCTTAAGCAAATTCTTATATTATCGTGTATTTTTATGTCACGAACGAAGGGGCTCGGTAAGTGACCTGGTTTAAAATCGAATTATAGACTGCCAGCTTTTTTCCTCTCTAAAACACCAGTTTACTGCCCTAGTTCGGTAACAAAATATGGGTTATAATATATACAAGGGGTGCGTAGCATTTTCGTAGCATCATCTACGAAATGTAGACAACAACGCTAATACCTCTTAGGCTTATTGTTAAGCCTACCGATTATATAGATTAGATATAAGAACATTTTAGGAATTTGTATAATAGCCCCTACATTCGTGTACGACTATACAAAATGAAAAAGACACTTAAAATCAGGCATTTTTGTAAAAATTCAGAGAAATTTGCAAATACTGTTAATTGGTAATTTTTCATAATGACGAGATTGTTCAACTAGTTATTTTTCAACTTGGCAATGTCTGACCACAAAAAAAAATTGGTAATATCAAGTAACATATATAGTGAAATAAGTTGCTATCTCATAATATTTCTCGACAAATTTGTGTTTAATGCACTTTTAAGTGTCATATAATGCTTGCACAAAAATAAGTTAATCTTCGGGGAAAACGAAAGAAATTTATTAAAAACGCATTTTGTATGACGTTTCACTGTTCTGATCAAACAATAAATAAACAAATGTTTTATTGTTTCACGTTAAAATATATCTTGACGTTAATATCGATATCGACCCACGACAGACACGAGTGGAACCGGATGAAGGAGGCCTATGTCCAACGGTGGACAAACCAAAACCTGACAATGCAAGCATTTGATGGTTCCTAAACGTTACATTGTATTTACACTTGAAACGAACAGAATGGGAAACAGGGAAAAAAATTTTTTTAATCTCTCATTTTTTTAATTTTTTCTTCGATTATTGTTATTTTATGTGTTTATGTGTGTGGGTTTTTGTTAGTAATATTTTTTTTTTTGTAGAACAGGTGGCAAACGGGCAGGGGGCTCACCTGATGTTAAGTGATACCGCCGCCCCTGGACACTCTCAATGCCATAGGGCGAGTGCGTTGCCGGCCTTTTAAGAATTGGCCGTTACGTCTATGTCTGTTTTACCTAATGTTAAAAGTTATTTTGTTAGGATCCATATCAATGAAACTTCAATGTAATTACGTTTTGGAAATTGGCTATTATTATTATTGGTATCGATATATATCGATACATATGCAGCAATCAGGAGAACTTTGAAAGATTCGAAACATACTACGTATTGGGTGAAAGGAAAATTAGCAATTCAAAAAGCCATTGTATTGCAAGAGATATCTACGAAATCCAAAAGAATAGTAGAAACGTAAACAAAGCGTTACACAATTATTATTAAGGTTCTATATAACTATAAGAATATATTATTCGATCAGGTAGAAATGCATTACCATTTTATTTACATTCAATTCACATTTGATATTTATTGAAGCATATAATTTTCACACTGCGTGGGCAAGACGAAGGAGCAGATTCACTTATTCGCCTCCATTTTGCCGATATCATTTTAGAATTGAAATGAAAAATAGTATTACGTGGGATTCACTTTAATTTAATTCTCAATTATATTGAAATTAAAAGTAATAGGGTATTAGACCACAAATAAAGTGCGGCTAACATGTAGACCATAATTGATGGCTTTGTGCAGTTTCGGAGGCCGCGTAACAATCAATCTCGTTCAATTAGACAGAATAAACATAGTTTCTAGAATAAACTTGACCTTTGAGCAATATAATGCTCCTAGTTTAATTTCCTGCAATTAATTTGTATTACAATTTTATAATACCCGAGTTATGTAAGCTAATATTAGTTATGTTACATACATATATGTCAGGGAATGCTTCTACAATCAAGAAATGTTCTAATCGAGTCAATTGACCGTTGATTTTTATAGTTGATTCAAATTCAAAATTATTTATTTAGGTAACACAACACATATTAAATGCCTTAAATTTTACATTTACTGCCAGTTCTAAAATCAAGAAAAGGACGAGAAGAACTGGCCATAAACTCTCCGCCATTATTTTTAATCGCCAAGGTTTTTGTTTTACACAATGTCTGCAAGAAGCTGCAACCATTACACCATGTTTACGTCACATCTTAAGAAATGAATAGTTAAATTAATGGTTTTGGTTGATAATTGAGACTCCTTCTATTTCTTTTAAGAATCTTAATTTTAATTGATTGGATTTGTTTTGTTATTGATTAATTGACGTATAAAAGTACGAATATTGTTACGACCGATCAAAGCCGAGCAAAAGCCTCGAGTGGGGTCGAAAAGCCATCTTGACTTTGGACAGTGTGTCCAGAGAACGCTAATTTTCCTTTCACCAGTTGTATGTTTAGATTTTTTCGAAGTACTTCAGATAGATATGCTGCATATGTATCAACGTACTAACGTCACATTATATATAAAACAATAATACTCGTTTATTAATAGTTTTTGTAATAACCTTTGTAATAGTTATTCATTCCGCAAATAGAATTTTGGCAATAAATAAGTGTTCACACCTAACATTTACTTTTATAACACTACTAGCTGTCCCTGCAGACTTCGTTTCTCCTTAATCCTAGTCTACCTTTTTAGTACATACCAACATGGAACATTTTGCTATGCTACCACAGAGACTGTTCGGTTTTCCGGAATGAAATTGTTTTAGGTTGTTCAGTGAATTTTTCTCTATATATAAATAAACCTCAGAGTTCAAGAAAACAGTTTTTAATATACAAATAAGAGCTGATCGTAGAGATGTAAAAATTAAGGGTTGTATGTATTTTTGTAATTGTATAAAAAATAAAAAAATATTTTTTTGGGGACACCCCAATTGTGATAAGTCACTTAGGAGTTTGAAAGATAGTAGCCGATTCTCAGACTTACTGAATATGCAAAAAAAATTCATAAGAATCGGTTGAGCCTATAATAAAATAGTTTGGAAAATCCAAAAGTGCACGCCTCATAGCGGTCATTCACATTAAAAAAAATCTAAAACAAAAACCTTGAGTTTTAAAACAAAATAACAAATAAATTATTATCTTTTAGTCTCACGCTACGAAGAATATTTAAACATACATATTTAGTGGCGCCATAACTGTAAGGAACAGTCGTATTTTAGTTTTTTACAAATTATAATTAAACGACAGTACTTAGAACGCTAATATTAACTAGGAATCAGCCCAGGGTATAACTTTATATAATAAGAAAAAAAGTATTCTGGAACGATAAATTTTTCGACCAATTTGCCACATACATGGATCCATAAACACAGACCGACGGACGTCCAAGAATGATTGATTTTAATGTTATTATTTACTATGTTAAACAAAATAATTGTTCATAAAAAATACCATATGTGCTTGATAGATTATTTAACTCGATTTTAGTGCACTCATATTATCCTGAAGTGTTATATTAGTGAGAAAAAAGTCATTCAATTTCGAAAGACTGGGTTTTTTGACATGTCGAGAGTAGAGCACTGCGAGGCGTGCAATAATAGAGATACTTCTATTGTTACATTTATTATTGAAGTAAATTGTTGTTCGGAATTCCAGTTTTAATTATGTGTTCTCTGTATGAACAATTACAATTCAGACTAACGAACTCTGGGCTGAGAATCGCCAACCTAAACTAGATTAGTAAGCCCAGTATGATATGGTAATAATAAACCCTTTACTCTATGGCTTATTAAATCGATCTGTCAAAGACATACACATAACAACTGGTTAACGTTATATAAAAATGCTTTATAGTATGATTGATTAAAAAGAAATAAGTAAACGAAACAAAAGCAAATATGAAAAGTGACTTTCAAGTAGATATGGAAAGGAAATCAAACATTTAAATGAAAATGTCATTGCCGGCATCTGGCAAAGTGTTTGCAGGATGCAATCAATTGATCCGTTGAGAGAAAATGATTCGTCGTTTTACTCAACTATATATTTACCGATTTTATTTGCAAAGTTTTAGAACGTAATCAATTGATATCATTATTTAGCTATATATGTTATTGAGCTGCAAGCTGCGGAGCAGTGTTGGCCTAGTGGCTTCAGCGAGCGACCCTGAGATCGTAGGTTCAATCCCCGGTTGTGTACCAATGAACGCTCGAACGGTGAAGAAAAACATCGTGAGAAAACCGGCTTGCTTTAGACCCAAAAAAAAAGTCGACGGCGTGTGTTAGGCACAGGAGGCTGATCACCTACTTGCCTATTAGATTGATAAATGATCATGATACATATTCAGAAATCTGAGGCCCAGACCTAAAAAAGGTTGTAGCGCCACTTGATTTTATTGTTATTTAGCTGGAATAGTCCGTATGAATTGGTGGATACAGAAGGCTCCACGAAGAAATTATAAATTGTTAGAAGGAGGAAGAAGAGAAGAAACCTACGGCAATGTACCGTTTTTAGTTTTTGTCACACATAAATTGTTACAATTAACAGTAATTTATAAATACAACAGATATTCTAGACGGCACGTTAGACATCCTCACGTATATCAAGTTAAAGAATTTTAAATTAAACGTTTAACTGTACAAATATGATATGGTATTAGACGATAACGTTTTTGGAGGTGGTTTCAAAGTTAGCTATTACGTTAGTAGAATTCGTTAATGCTTTTAGAAGTATATATATTCTGTGATGCTGTATTTATTACACAGTTATATTATAACGAATCTTGTAAAAAGCTTTTACAGTGTTTCATAAATTTAAAAAGCAAATTATTTTATACGTTGTTAAAAAAAATATAATTAAAGAAACAATCAATGTATGTACTTGTTATATAAAACGAACTTGTTTGGCGAATGAAAATCTGCGTAGCACTTTTGTAGACAGTTCTGATTATTTTGTAAAAGTCTTGTTTAAGACGCATATAATAAATCATGGAGGTTATAAGCCATGTCTAACCGCCGATATAACTTACTAACGCACTATTTAAATACTAATATTATTTGATTAATTACTGTAATTAATTGCCATTTAAATTAAAAGCCTTTAATAATTTATTAAATTGTTGTCATTGTCGTGTCCTTAAATGTGGTATAGTTTGCATAATAAACGAATTTGAATCAACACAAATAATTTGTTTAAAAACTGCCAATTTCTAGTTTAAAAAAAGTGCGTGCGTACAAAGTACACATGTCAAAAGTGAAACTTCTTTGGCATACTAATTTTAACTCTTGTTCATATTTAAACAAATCTAAAACTTTTTTGATTTCAGAAAAAGAAAAAGGAAGATATGTTAGGAATTTCATGAATTTAATTGTCATTAAAATATTAAAAGTGTCGAAAATTAATGTAAATTTAATTTTTTAAATTTATTTCTTCGATAATAAAAACACGTGGCATTTTAATTTACAATTCGTCATTTGAGATGTCAATAAATTATTTTGCATAAAATATAAAATACTAATATTACATAAATTCTCAATTCAGAATTTGTATAAGGTAATTCGCCCTTCTCACTCTCTCTCAATCGGTCTCAATAGCTCTCTCCCTCTCTGACAGAAACGCTGCACATCTTCGTGACGTTTTTTAAAAATGTTACGCTCATGCGCCTAAAGAAGTTTCACTTCAATAAATAAATTTTGCCAGGTAGTGCCATATATTTATTTTTGTAGATTCAAATTCAATATGTTTTATTTATTTGTCAAAATGGGTTAGTCTCTGTACAAATTTGAATTGGTCTTTCAAAGACAATATTACAATTGTTTTTTTAACAACAGTAATTAAATTTTTGCCTTAATCATCTTTTAGTTAATTTATTATTGGCGTGTTTAGGCACGATCCCACGAACACATATGACACACCAATAAATTAAATATTATTATCTAATAACTCTAAAGTATTTTCTTGTAAAAATCAGTTAAATGCAGTCTGAAATATTAATTGATAAATTAATTAAATATAAACGGAATATGAATGAACGAGTTCTTACTTATCTGGAGCGCCATGTGGCGGCGGTGCGCTGGGAGGCTTCAAACTCCTAAAAGCCTTAAGCCACTTGTTCTTCATACTTCCGGCTGATGAAGACGATAGCTTGCGGTCTACTGTGCTGCTGTCAGCTTTAGCTGCAAACAGCTCCCTCTGGAAATAAGATGTTTAGATTTATTACTAAGACCCATATTAATCTTCGTTTATTTGCTCCAGGTTGTGGGTTAGACATCTGGAGATAATAATTCAGTAAATTTACTAGTTATTAGTAGACATATACTGTTGGGACATATATCGTTACGTTTATGTAACGATAATGTTCTTCAACTTTTCTTTAGAACTCAATTATGTATCGTTATGGCAGCGTTCGTAAGAAACGTTTTCCGAAAGAAAATCCGGCGAAAAAGCCAACTATAACGTGGCTATCTCTTGGTGAAATAATTTTCGAAATCGGTTCAATAGATCCTAAGATTACCCCCACGATACCAAAAAAATCTTTGTTTAGTATACTGAAATATACTCGAACCACAAATCACACATTACCATGCCATCAAGAAGACTCCTGAACAATTAACAAATGTATGAGAATCATAATGTATGATCCTCAAAAAATCTAAATAATCTCAAAATATTGTTCGGTACCTGTCAATTTGTCATTTACTGGATGCTAGAGCGAGATATAATGCTCAGTGCTGGGCGTTTCCTTAGGGGAATAAAACCAGTACCCATTGGATACGGCTTCGTAGTTCTAGAAATACTTAAAGTGAGGAATACAAATCTTGTCTTACAACACCTTGTAAAAAGATTTGTTTATTATATAAAACGTACACGATTCGTGATCACGAACGTTCTCTAATCTTGTTACAAGCTAAGATACGACTATAAAATACAGAATCCATAGAAAAATCTAAGTTTTTAATTGAGTGATTTACCTAAGAGGCACAATAAATGCGAGACCGTAGTCACGATATGTTGTTTTCATTCTTAGCATTCAAAGTCAAAGTCAAAAATCATTTATTCATATAGGTAACACAATGTACACTTATGAACATCAAAAAAGAAATATACTTTAAATGCTTCTAATTTTACATTAACTGCCAGTTCTCAAATCAAGGGCGTAGAACGGAAGAGTAGAACTGGCAATAAACTCTCCGCCACTCTTTTTAATCGCCAAGTTTTTTGTTTTACACAACGTTTGTAAGGAGCTGCAACCATTACACCGTGTTCCATATGACATCTTAAGTAATAATAAAATAAATTAAAAACAAAGATTGGTCCTCTGGTGAGGAAACCGACATGCTTTGGGTTCAATGCATGTCGGTTTCCTCACGTTTTCCTTCACCGTATTGTCAAATAAGTTTTGAAATCACAATTTCGACACTCCTCTTTTTTATATAATGTAGTAAATTGTCACAAAATCATCAATTGAAAAAAATATAGATAAAGTATTGTATCGCAATTACACGAAAACGGCAAAAGTACGAGCGACTATTAAATGCGCACATAGACAGTCCATTGATGGACAGCCTGGCTTCAAACCTACGACCTCAGGGATGAGAGTAGCACGCTAAGGCTACTAGGCCAACACTGCTACTAGAAATTAATGAATAATATTCACAACTAGCGGCCTTAACTATGAATATTGATTATGAATTGGTATAATTAACTAAAAAAATATTTCAGAACCAAGTTTTTATTATTCTAATGCTTTATGATATACAACATTCTTTGTTTGTTTTTCTGGCGCGTATATAAATAGTTATGTTGGTATTCCGACACGGGAACAGGCGACATATAACTGGCCATGTGATAGATTATTTTATACATATTAATGTAACAAAAGTCAGGATTACTTAATATGGTGGTTAATTATTTTTAAATTTACTAATTTTCCGCGCAATTTTCTTATTTTTTTCTTTCATAAGAACCTTCTCCTGACAATAACGAACACAAAAAAAAAGAATTAGCGAAATCGGTACAACAGTTCACGCGTGATGCCGTGACCAAGGGAAATAGGGATACATTTTGATATATAGACTAGTGGACCCCACAGACGTTGTCCTGCATGATATTTAAAGCGATTAGGATATTAAGCAAAGTATGAAAGTACCGACTGCAGTGCCATCTGCCGGGCTGATTTGTGAATCTAAACCATTCCCAGATCCCCTTGAACACACACAAAAAATTTCATCAAAATCGGTCCAGTCGTTTGAGAGAAGTTCAGTGACATACACACTCACAGAAGAATTATATATATAAAGATAAAAGAGATAAGGTTGTGTGTATTGAAGTTAAGTCATTATCAATGTAAAAGCTAGCAATGTTCAATGCTCTTTCGATGTCTGACAGATGCTGTTAAAGCTTTAACTAGTTCCACTTGAACGCTCCGCTTCAAAAGTTATATCTTTTATATAATTATCAATTCTTGGAATTGTCACGATTCAATACTTCTTGTAACTCATTAATAAGTCGTGCTCTATTCAGTTTAAATTGGAAACAATTTGCAGATCTTACAATATCTAACTTACAATATTTTTTCAAAAACATTTGTTTTTATAGGCAGCAAAAAAAAGGCTCACGCTAAGTGATACCCCATGGACGCTCAATGCCAGGGGGGTCGCGAATGCGTTGCCAGCCTTTTTAGCGGTAATAACTGACTTATATAACGCTCAGTTGCGAAATGATGGACGTCGAGGAGATACGGGTGGAATCTCGTATTCAGTCTCGACGTCTGATGGAAAAAACAGCTGCAGATATTAATCCGAACAAAAAAAAATTTGTGGCACTACAACTTCTTTAGGTCTTGGCCTCAGATTTCTGAATCTGTTTCACGATCATTTTTGTTATCTAATAGGCAATTAGGTCATCAGCCTCCAGTGCCTGACACACGCCGTCGACTTTTTGGGTCTAAGATATGTCGGTTTCCTCAACGTTCGAGCGAATGTTAAATGGTCACATGGAAAGAAAGTCCATTGGTGCACGGCCGCGGATCTAACCTACGACCTCAGGGATGAGAGTCGCACGCCTAAGCCACTAGGCTTTCTTCTTTTATGCTCGGAATTTCACTCACTCACGAAATGCCAGTGCCCATTTGGCTAAAGTCCGAAAGTATGGCACTCCCACTACTATGGGGATTGACTGATTACACTGGTGAAAATAACCTGTCACAAGCTATTTCACCAGTGAGCGATGGGGTCGTCACGGCGCGACGCCAACAATGCCAAAAAAAGTTTATAGATACAACTGTAATGTATATTATATATGAAAAACCGCCGATGGTAGCAAATACAGTATACAGTAGTCCGTTATTTTATAATTAGTTTTAAATGCAAACAATACTTTTTAATGTATATTATTCAAAGGCATGTCACCCCCAACGAGGCATTTAACATATAATTAAAATAATAATACTAAATCGTTTTAAAATATTTAGGTCAAAAAGCGATGTTTAGGTATATCAACTTTGGCATGACTATCTTTATTAGCAACTTTGTCGTCTAAACGTTAAAAGATAAAGTTAAAAGCATTGTCAAATTTCATAATAACTTGCGTAAAGTAAAGCGGGTTTCGTTACGCTTACAAAAGACAAGATGACTGGACAGTTGAATTTTTGAACAATTAGGTCAATTCTGTATAGAACTTTAATCATCATTAACATTGAAATTCGTGGAACTACTGAACTGAATTAGAATTTTTTTTAAGGAAAGCAATGCTATTTACGAATATTTTGTCTCCAAACAAATGAGTCGGGGACGATAACTTCTATAGCGAAATAACTGAAAAAAAATCGAAAATTATTGAATAAATTTTATACGATTTGAAGGCAAAGAATATTAACACAATTTATTTCTCAAAACTACAAAACTTATCACATGGGAAAAACCAAATGTCAGAGAAGAAAATATCACAGTTCTTCGAAGGATCTTTCGGGATTTGTGTGCGTTATCAGAACTTTTGGGATACATTCCTTTTTACGTGATTATGTATGATCGACTATATAACTTAGTAATATTCTAGCATATAACATTCGTTAACGACAAAAAATTATGTTTGTGTTAAAAAAAGTATTTTTAAATAGGAAATCACTATTAAACAATTTGTTGTAATGTTGTAATATTTATATGTTTTTTATTTGTTGTAATTGTTGTAAAGTTTTTGGTCACCGTTATTGTCTATGTATTTTAGAAAAGATAAATTGTAACCTATAGTGTAGATGCATTGTGTATGTATGTAGTGTGCTTTATTAGGTATAGGTAAATAATATTCGAGTACATAGTATTGTCTTTGATTAACATAACCTTTACACATTTAAAGAAAAAACTTTTTAACCGGATTAAAGTTATGTATTATTATAAATTTACAATTATTTAACATAATTTTAAATTTATCCGACGTTTCGCGTGCTTTACAGCGTGCGTGGTCACGGTGACTGAAGACAAATACGCGTTGCAGACCAAGAGCTAAGCTACGTTAGTTTAGCTTAGCTCGCATAGCTGACGCAATTTTCCATACGTCTGTGCAGACCGCAAACTATGCGAACTAAGCTATGAGAGCTAACTAAAATACGCGAAGCTTAGTTGTGTATGCCGATGCGCAGCTACACGAGCTAAGCTAAGCCCCTCCCGCTACCCCGCACACCCTTTGCACATAGTATGCAACACTGACTGAGCTTTGGGTTAGCTGTTGGTGTGCACGCTATTTATTTCTAGCTTAGCTTAGCCTAGCTTGCTTGGCATAGCTTAGTTTAGCCTTGGCATAGCTTAGTTTTCGGTCTGCAACCGGCTAAAAGGTGTTGGATGTCAAAAAGTATCACAGCTGTAGAGAAAGTTGCATTATCTGTATTTATTACCCCGGAGTTGGTATCGACTAAAAGATGGAGGGTTTTGGCAAAAATGCCGTGAGCCATTTTTGCCAAAACCCTCAATACATAACTTTAATCCCGTTAAAAAGTTTATTCTTTAAATATTCGAGTATAATGAGACAGATTTGTCATGGATAAAGGATAAAACTGTTAAACTGACTTACAAAAATCAACAAATATAGTGTTACATTATCAGCAAGCAAGATAGGCTATATAACACAATGCTTTAATGAATAGGAGTGTATTAATTAAACATGTTGAAGAGCATGATATTCGCTTTTGAGTGCTTCCC